CATAATGTAGCTTAGGTAAAAAATCTAGTGATGTACTAAGTAATTATGAGACATGAATAATTTAATATGTAATGGTGAAAAAGGTTTGTTCCGGTCTTAAATGGTAGAAATTTCTTTTAAATTATAAGTTTGAGTTTTGTTATTGGTTATTTTTATAAAATAATGCATCTATTTCTAATTAATTATTTTCTATCGTTGAGTTGAAGGTCACTTCGGATAGTATGGATGCAAAAAATAAAATTTTATCTTTTTTTTAAATAATGTTTAAAGGGTATAATTAGTTTATCTATACATCTATTTTTTGCATTAAAAAAATAGTTGAAACATTTATAACACACATTCTCATTCCATCACTCTATATATTGTATTTCTTTTTTTTACAAAAGGGATTTTAGACTATAAGAGAAAACCTACTTACACTATTTAAATCTTTCGAAAAAATTTATATTATTCTAAAAATAACTATTAATACTTATTCCTTGCAACGAGACAAACACAAATAGTAAAGAGAATATATATATATATATATATATATATATATTATTTTTTATTTATCTTATGTAATTTTTTATATGTATCCGTTGGTATTTCAAAATTCAAGGTCACACATCGATCATGTGTGGCATCTTTTTATGATAAAACAATGAAAAATAAATGAAACAATGCGTTTGGTTTTATAAACCAACTAAATCTCGACGAAGCATTTAAGTCTTAAATGAAATAATGCGTTTGGTTTCATAACCAACCAAGTTTTGATGAAGCGTTCAGTTTTAAGCAAAACGGTACGTTTATTTGTATAACCATCTCGGTTTCGATGAAATCATAAGTATTAAATAAAACAATGTGTTTAGTCCCGTAATCAGCTAGCTTTAAAACTAAAGTAAAATGATCGATTACTATACATTATACTATTTAAAATACTATTCGCCCGGACTCATTCGTACTATTCACAAAGTCTTAAATGTACTATTTCTTTCACTATACGAGTGGCATTTTTGTAGTTTTTAAATATTTTAAAAACATTTATTATGAAAGTTTTGTAACATTACACTTTAGTTCCTCTTTTTAAAACAATTTTTTTTAGTCCGCAAATATTTTTTGTTTAATTGTGGTCCCTCTTTTTTATTTCATTTTGGTCACTTTAGTCCTTTTTTTCTTTGATTTTTTTTAATTAAAAAATTTTAAAGTAAAAAAATGTTTAGAAAAAAATTTACAAAATAAGTTTTTGGCTAAGAATCTATTGATTTTAAATTTTTTTATACTATTATAAATTTTTTAGTTTGTGGATAGAGATAAATAAATAATATTTTTTAATAAAAAATTTATGAAAAATATAAATAATAATCAGTCAAATATAAAATTTTGATTAAAAAATTATAAAATTAAATGAATTTTTATTCAGTTTCGATGATATATTTTATTATATGCATAATATAACATGAAATATCATGCTAAAATAATTTTTTTAAAAATAATTTTATATGTTTTGTCCGATTTGTAGTATAGCATGGATAAAAAAAACTAGTTTAATCAATAAATTAATTGCCTTATGAGAATGGAAGGAGGGTTGCCCTCATTCTATTCTCTTGTTTTTTAAATCTTTAAAAAAATAATGTGGAAATTTAAACATTGCTGTGATTTTATCATTTTATGATTCTTATCTTTAGAATTTAAAAGGAACATGACTATCCTGTTTTAAATCTCCACATCAATTTAAATTCAACAAATTCAAATTAGACAAAGAGAAAAAAATATTGAATAGTTAATTTATTATCATTGTTAACATGTGTTGAGGTCATAATCATTTAAAACTTATTATATAGGATCAAAGTAACGTGAGAATCTATAAAACACATAAGAATCTATCAATGAGCTTTTGTTGGCCTCTCTTGTTAAAAAAAAATAATAATAATAAATAAAATTTAATGATAGAGCAATACACGTATAATATTTTGGATTGAACAGCATATATTTTGAAACAATATATATCACTTTCTTCGACTTTTCCTAGCTTTCTCTTAAAGACAAATGACAATAAATTGGAGTTTACTATAATAACTTTTCATCACTCTCTTTTATTTTCATTCATAATTTAGACTTGCATGACAAAAAGAGAAATGATAATAAATTTGAGTTTTATTTAGGGTTATGATCCGTAAGTATTGAAAACAATTCAATTTGGTATTTTTGCTAAGTTAAGTGTTAATTGAATTTATATACTAATTCAATTTATTTAATATGGGCCCTTCGTTAGAGACGTCGTTGATGATGCTAAGGGGGCATTTGATAAAACTGAAAATTAAGTGTTGAATCGTTAAGTAATGAATATATTCATGACAAACTGTTTTGTATTTACTCAATATAATAAGCATGTTTAATAAGTACTCGTTGTTAAATATATTAAGGTTATATAAATGATAATTTTAACCTTGTAATTATAACATGATATTTATTGACACAAATAAAAATATATACATAGATGTGTTTGTATATACAAATAAATAAATAAAAATTCAATAAAAATGATTATTAATAAAAAATTAAGTATAAGAAGGTTTCCTCTGTTTTAGCAATGGGGATAGTAGAAATTGTTTTTTAGTTGGTTTATATATCTAAAGTTATAAAAATATATAAGGACGATATAGTCATTTTTGAAAAATTTAAAAAATTTTTCAACTAAGTGTATTAATCAAAAAGTAATAAGTTAAAAACCTTAACTTATCCGATTAAATAAATTTTGACTGAAATTAAATTTTTAATATGAGATTATTTAAGTTATCAAATAAATTTTTTATATTAAGTACAACAACTTAATTTTTTAAGCTACTTAAAGAGGTTATTAAACACCCCTAAGCAAATTGAATAATTAAGTGACTCATATCTTTTGTCTTGTTGAATCTGTTAGTTTTCTTTTCTAATTTCAATAAATGCTTTTCGTGGTAAAAAAAAAAAAATAATGATGAATCTTTATTTTTTTAATTTTAATAAATGGTTTCTATTATTAAAAAAAGTGGAAAAAAAATAATTTTGATAAAAAAATTATATTTTCAATAAATGCTTTCTTTAATAAAAAAAATAGTGATAAATCTTTATTTTTTTTCTCAATTTTTTTTCTAATTTAAATAAATGCTTTCTGCATCAAAAATGGAAAGAAAAAAATTAATAATTAACAAGGTTTATAAAATCAAAGGACATGTATCGTTTAATTATACAATTTATTTAATGTTGGCAACAACCTTGCCAACGGAAAGTCTATATTAAACAAACTGGTACAATATAAAAATCTAATTAACTCTTAAGTTGATAGAAAGACTTGATTAATTAATTACTTGTAAATAACGATCATACAAATCCTTAATCCATTTATTTAAATAGTAAACTGGATTCATAAGAAGCTTACCGTAATCACGAAACATCTTATGACTAAGATGTCTAACGTATAATAAGAATAGTTTTTTTTTTCCTTCTTCTTCAAAATATCATGGTTGAGCACGGCAATATTTCTCATCCATTTCTTTATTCATTTTAGGCTCTTCACGGGATTTAATTTGGTGGAGTACTTATAAACAACAACGATAATTTTCAATAATGTATTTTGTGGTAGATTTTTTATAAGTGGTGTTATTTTCATTTCATAATTTGTTAATCGTACAGCATTATATATTTTTATTACTTAAATATACCAAAGTAGTCCTAATTAGATTTTTCATAAATAATGATATGAAATTTAAATGTAGAAAAAAAATTTAAAAATAAAAAGTCTTTCTTTTATACATAAGATATTCAAAATTTATATTTTTTTCATTACCTATCACCGAATTAATTTATTCAAAAATATTTTGGTCATACTGCAGTTTGTTTTCTTGTTCAAGAATTTTATGTTTTTTCTAAATATTATTTACCGATAAAATATTTATTTAAAAAATATATAATAGTGAAATCAAACTTTTGAAAACTTAAATTTTAATATATTCTTTTATTTATTTCAATTAATTTTAATTATTAGAAAGTAAAATTTCAATAAAATTTGGTTATTTTAAAATAAGATATTTTATAGTTATGCTAAAGAGAAGGACAATGTAGTCTACTCATAAAATTTGTAATGAATGTGAAATGGAATCAACATTGCTTGGGAATATATCAAACACAACCCGAAAAAACAGATAGATATTTCCTTTCTTAAAATCACACATACCTGTCCATAGATTTGGAAAAAAAAAAAAAAAAAAAAACTAACTGCCTTTTGATCATTGAGATAATCATCAATTTAATTTTCACTTGGTTAAAATATTTTGGACTCGACAATAGATTTTTTGGAATTGGAACAATACCACTCTCTTTGCTTCAACTTTTCCTCACAATTCACAAAAGCGTGTTGATTATCTGGCCAACAAGCAACATGGCTATGACTTCATTTTGGGTGTCCATGTTCTGAATAGCCAAGAGGTGCCAACTCCTCTGTTTTGTATGCTTTTCTTCATAGTGTTTTTGGGCGTAAGGCGCTTTTCCTACCAATAAATACGTCTTTCCTCCCCAGTATATTTTAGCTTTCTCAAAGAAATTTTCTCTTGAATATTTTGTCAAAATTGTAAATTCATCCAGGCTTGCTAAATTACTTGAAAAAACTTTGTCTCGCCACAAAATAATAATAATAATAATAAAAAAAACACTTTTTGGGTGAATTTCCATGTGATGTTCAATGATAGAAGGATTACAGAACTAAGCCTTCGCAAATCATTCATGTAACATCAAGAAAGTAAAAAAAAGTTTGTATAGCAACTTGTAATTATTGCAGATTGGGAAAAACTCAAGAGGCTCGTACGTAATCGATCAACAATTTTGGCGGAAGAATTAATATTACTAGTACTTAAAATCACAGAGCCGATAATCTCATTGGGATTACATCCACCATCATCATTCATATTAAGCTAAAACTTTTTTGAGCTAGCGCAATGGTTGATCCATTCTTTGATTAAAATTTTCTGCACTAAGTCATTGCATTAAAACCTTATTGTATTGGGACCCCAACAGCTCAAATGCATAATTTTCTCTGCATATTGCTCCGATTCCTTCATCTCAACATTTCCAACCTTATCAAGTACCATCGTTGACGTGACTGAAGAATTAGAAGAAGAGAGGAACTTGGCCTTAGCAAGTGATCCTAAACTTTTCTTGGCTTGTGCTTCCAGAGACCTTATACTGTAGTTCCATCTGCAAATTCCTAATTGGTCTTTAAATGTTTCGACTGCTCCAATACTAGCTGCCACAATCCAAGTCCCTCCTGCTGCACTCATTACCTTTCGTTTACTGATCTTTCTTTGGAAATACAAATGTGAACACAAAGAATTTCTGGCAGCTAAGGAGAGATATGAGAGTTATGTATTCTGAATTTTTGGTGGTTTGAATGCTAGGGTCTTTTTTTATATGAATATAGGCTGTTTGTATTCTTCCATGAGGTTAACTCAAAACCCTAGGCAGAATCACCAATAAGCTTAGTAAATAACTAACAATACCAAAACATTGTGGCAAGCTTGAATAGCTTTGAGTTGTCTCTACATTCCGGAGTTCCGGACATGAGGGGAATAAAACAAAATAAACGAATAACACATGACAGGAAACAATATTCACACTCCACATCTGGGGCCTGCAGGATTTATAAAAAAAATTATGATCTGTAATTGGAATTTGAGCTCTGATAACAGATCAGGAAGAGCGAAACCAACAATACAGAGATTGCCAATAAGCTACCCTAGTAATTTTGTGGTCCTAAAATATAATAAATTAGGTCTTCTGGTGCTTGATATGTGCAGTATTTATTTATCTCGTATTAGTTTGTGGTTCACGGAAACATTTCAAAATCTTTTATTATTATTATTATTATTATTTGAGAAATAATAATAATAAAATCTTATTACTTGTAGACAAAGGTTCCAGTCGAAGAATGGCAGAGGAATTCACATTTCAGGATGCGTCAGTTTCCATAATGGAGTCTTTGTATTATAGCTTGGATCACATACTATTACATTCTGAATAAACGTCAGCACCCAATGTTGGCACAAACTCTGTGGCCTAATGCAGTATTTGATTGATTGATAATCCCCACACTGTACTTCCATTTACATAACTGGTACAGTGATGATCGAGTTGGTTTTTTAAACATCTGATAAGGAATCCTTTGGCTTGTACAGAGATCTATACAGACTACTATGACTCTGAATAGGGTTTTACAAGGCTGTGGAGTGTCAAAGGGAATCATTTAACTAGCCATATAAGAAAAACAATTCATCTATAGCCGCGGGAATCAACTAAATGAAACCAAAATCGGAAGGCTTGCCAGCAAGGGGAAAATATGGTGAATCACGTGCCAAAGGAACAATGGACGCGTTCAGAACTTAACTAAGTTGAGCTATATCAAACCCATCCGGAAATTTGAAAGTGTCAGCAGCTCCAAATTTCCTCCTTTCTTCCCAATCTTCAGCCAATTCATCTTCTTCATCACTGTCGTTGGCCTCCTCTTGGTAACAGGTAGGTGTAGATGGGTCATACACGCTTCTAGATCGGCACGATGGAGCGGCAAGCATGCTCACTTGGCCACGATGAGAAATTTCAACAACAACCGTGTTATCATCGACAGGGAGAGGTTGTTTCCAAGGCTCCCCATCAATCCTCATGAATGTATGGTCAGCTGCACCCTTATGGAACTCAAAGCGTACTCTACGTGCCTATACACAAAGAGAAGACTCAAAGCTAGAATCCAAACCATAGAGGGAGAGAGAGAGAAAAGCATTACAATGGAATGAAATGGATTGGAACAACTTGAGATTTTTTTTAGAAAAAAAAAGGGAAAAGAAAAAAAACTCAGCCTCTCATCAATGAATTATGCCCTTTGACCCCAGGCCTAAAATCTCATTAATGTGAAAATTCAAACTCTTTTGGTCGGAAAATTTATTAGCTACCTGTGCAAGACGAGTCCCATGTCCATTTGGGGCAAGCAAAACAAGCCCATGCCAAGCATTTCTAAAACCAACAACCTCAAAAAATCCATCGTCAACATATGGAGGTGTCAAGTCCCTCTGCACAAAAAAATTATCCAGAGTTAGCAACAATTTGTAGACGAGAACGACTTTTCATTTTTTAAGGGTAGATAAGAAATATTTAGATTAGAACTCAGTATCTGTATTCTATCAGAGGTAATACATTCACATAGATACAGTATAGTTAGGAGTGTATGTGCGCACAAACTGCAGACACATGTGCATATATATATATATATATATATATATATATAGAGAGAGAGAGAGAGAGAGAGAGAGAGAGAGAGAGATCAGAGCTAACATCAAGCAATTTCTCCCGACTGGGTGTTCCCCAAGGATTCAGTCCACCAGAAAAACTAGGCAAGTTGAGGCAAACAATAGATCTGATGCTGTATATCAAAGAAAAGTTATCAGAAAATTGAGACCCCAAATTTTGATTGGAATTAGAATAGTTTATCCAGGTTATATGAAGAAAAAGATAGTACGACAACACAATCAGAAAGGTAAAGGAAAAAATAAAAGGCCCACGTTCAGAAGGGGAAAGAAAAAAAATAAAAGCATTTATGTACTAAACCTCACGGTCAGACGAAGAAGATATGAGAAGAGAACATTTGAAAAGATAACATAACATGCGATCTCAGAAATACTGAAGTTACAAGCACTTCAATGCAGGTTAGATCAGTTCTTGCCAGGAGAGGCTCAACAGCCAGTAAGATTTAAAATTAAATTAAATAAGAGAAAACGACACCTCAATGCATCGAAAAAATGCAGTTTACTACAGAAACAAAATTCCAAAAATCTCTGAATTCTTACAAACAGAAAATAATTGAAAATTATCAGATGAAAAACATGATATTCCCAATCACCATTATGCTCAGTTAGCTAGCCTGGAATGTTGCAGAGATAAGTGAAAAATTGAAGATCCAATCTTAAAGTTTTAAAGGCAATGATTGAAAATTGTTCATGAAGTTTGCTTACTGAGAGAAGCTCGTGTATGATGTTACATCTCTTTGATAAAGTTGTTAAGCTCCATATGGTTATGCAAAAGAATGCAGCCATGCAACATTCCCGTATAACCATAGAGAACCAATTTCAGTGGCACAAGAACTACGTATTTCTTTGATCAAAGCATTCAATTAAACAATTGATGCTACGAAGTGCTAAATTTAGCAGTTCAGTATAGTCAAGATGATTTCAGTAAAGTTCTGAAAGTCAAGCATTGCACAAAACCTAAATCTGATTAAATCAGCTAGATGTAGAGTTTTGCCGTACTATTTCTTTAAAATGAGAATGTAGATGCCAAGTCCCCAAAGTTAAATTAGGAATACTCATATATTGTTCATGATTAACTTCATAGGTGAAAGGACTGTACACTGTACAGGCCAACCGGAATCATGGATAATGGGCAGAAGGTTGGACTGTAAGGGAAAATGAATATCTTATTTCACCTGCGAGGTATATCGAGGTCCACCCATTGACCTTGTCCTTTCATGATTTTAACCCTTGCTAGCTGTGCTATGTTCCTGCATTGAAACTAAGTCATCGTTACAAACAGAAACATCAATTTGAAGAACACTTTGCACCACAGATCACAAAATGATTAGGCAAACAGAGAAAAACTATTACAGGATTCATATAGCCAACCCCAAGTCTTTGATATTAAGCTCAGATATCATGTTATGTAGTGAGGCAATGAGTGTATAATATTACAGCTAAACAATGTGTCCGTGATATTAAACCATCAAATGTAAATCTGCCCAATATGGGCATCAAATATTAAATTTCCACTACATTAACATCAAACACCAACATGCAAAACCAAAAAAAGAAAAGCTGCTTACTGGGAGGGGGAAAAAAAAAAGAACAAGAAGAAAAAAGATCCTCGTAATGAACAAAATTTAAGTTAGCTCACAACTTAACTTGTTAATTGGCTTGAGATGAACTTATAAAAGGACCAAAGAATTTCGAGAATGGAAAGACTTAAAGGAGGCAAAATACCAAAGTCCTTCTCAGACTAAACTCACAGTGGTAGAAGGATATTCAAAAGTATAGCACAATAAACAGAAAACCGTGAGAGCTACACACTGGAAACAGAGACGAGTACCTAAAAAAGGCGTCTTAACAACAGAAACCTTCATTTTAGATATAACAAAGTATGCAAAGATACTGAGCATTGGGATAGCTTGGACCAATAAGGGCATATTCTTCTTCATATTACTGCTTCTAATAATTACAGGGAAAAAAGTAAAGCAATCTCACTTTGCTGCTAATAATTACAGGGAAAAAAGTAAAGCAATCTCACTCACCGTGAAGAAGGATGACAAAGAGAAGCAAGAAACCAGCCCTGAGTGCATCCAAGCTTCAAATAAGTACTCTGACTCGGCCAAGAAAATAAAGGAACAATAAGTAATGCCATTTTTTTTTCACGGATTTTAACAATGGATATATAGCAGAGTATACGTTGGCAAAATGAAACTATTCCTGTAATATATATAAGTTAAAAAAGAGGCTGTAAATTAAAGATGGGGGAAGAAACCCTACTGATATTTATTGCATGCTGAGGTATACACTTATTTAGGTGCTGCAAGACATAGCCTTTCTAGGATGATCCAGTATCCAAAAAAAAAAAAGGTTTCTCCGCTCACTTTACAGGTAATTGACTGAAATTTTATAGATACTCCTTAATTCAGATTAATAAATGGAGGGTATCATCAACTAAAGATGACAAATTAGGTACTCCATTTTCTAAGTAAATGGCAACACAAAAATGATTTCTTTCAGCTGAATAAACAGCAATAACTCATACAACAGACATATTCATATATGTTTACCCTCTGCTTCCGCAGAGCTCACCAGATCCAATAACCATGACAAAACCCCAATCCACCACCACCACTCCTAATCAGAATAAATAAATCCCCCATTGTTTAATAGACTTTATGAGATATGAGATAACTGCACAGAATCCATTCTGATGAAGTCATTAAAAAGACATCATAATTACTGACAGCATTTGTTCTTTACATAGATAATTACTCTAGCATTTATCATATTTATGAGAACCACTAATCATACTCCATCTATAAAGAAAACAAGGATGGATAATCCAATTTTGACTAGAAAACATAGAGGGGAAACCACAGTAGCAATAGATAAGGCCACAATATGTTATTGTCATGCTTGCCAAGCAAGCATAATTTAAAACATCCAACATGATACCTGATTAGCTAATTGGTTTTTAAATTTTTCCGGGTGTAACTTTCTCTCAGAATGAAAGGCATATGATACTTGAGCATCCATTCCTGAGCAGGACAAATAAATCATTTTAAAAGCAGTCAGCAACACGAAATAAGTAAGTACCACTTGCTAAAAACAAGAAAAAAAATGTTCACTTTCACACATTATTGCATCCTAATAACTCCACATGCTTTGTCCTGCTTGTTAGTATTTTCCAGTCTCAACCCCAACACCTCTCTTCAAGACTAAATGAACTTTTTCTGCCCTCCGCAAACAGAGGAAAATGATAAGACACTTGCATGAATGTCTTCAAGGCATTCTTTTATTTCTTACCCATGCTGAAGTAGTTCCAAAATCCCCCACGAAAAGTGTGGTAACCATCCTGAGAATAGCCAAATGAAAATTTTCAACTAAGCGAATAATTTCTAATGTGAAGCACAAACACCACAAGAGAAATCAAGCAACAGTAAAAATAGATAATACAAGTTCTCAGATTCACATTTCAGAATCCAATCAGTTCTTTCCAGTATGCTTGTGTTGCAATTGTTAAGTGCCCCATAAATCCATCAATGATATTAATTTTGGTTTCTACTAAGCCTTCTAGTAACTATTAACAAGCATCAAGGATAGTTTCCTCCTCATTTTGCACACTTGCACTCACGCATAGCACGAAACCAAAAACTTACCATATTCAATGAATCTGAATGAGAGACCCGATGGAATGCATGCAAAGAATGAGGTAGTTCGAGGGGTGCAATGGGATCACAAGAACCTTCTTTTGGAATCTTCATTCTCATGATAATATGCCAGCTGATAAGGAAAAACAGCATTGGTAATCCATATGGGAAAAATTAAAACAAAGAGAAGAGAAAGACAAACAAGCATGAAATTTCATCTGTAAGTATAATGAAGGAGAATGAGACTAATTACAAATTCAAGGCCAGGCTAAAAGATTCCACAGTTTTTGAGGTTGTCTGAAGTTGTTCCTCAACTTCCGATACAAAATTCATAATGGGACTACTTTTTGGCATCTAGTGCTGCTAGTCGAATAGATTAGGTGTAGTTTCTCCTTTTTTATATAGGATGCACATCTATACAATAGGCTGTGTTAAGTTCGGGCTAAATCACTATTGCCATTTAGTAAGCGAAAGAAAAATATGCCTAGGAAGTACAAATATTATAAGGTGTTGTTTGGTAATCGGGAATAGAGTGATGGGAATGAGAATGTAGGAATCGGAATGAAAATTAAGGAATCAGAATGGTATTTATATTCCAATACCGTGTTTGGAATACTAATAAGGAATCGAATGCAATTTAAATTTTTTAAAATCTAATTTTTTATACAAATAAAAATAATGATTAAAAAAATAATTTTATTAAACTATATGGTTGTAAAAATAATAAAGGTGATTGTGGTTATGATAGTGGTGGTTCTAGTGGTGGTGGTAGTGGCGGTAATGATTGCCACGGTGGTAATGGTAGTGGTGGTTATGATTGTGATAATGATAGTGATAGTGATGGTGGTGGTTGTGATGATGCTATTAGTGGTGGTAATTGTGATAGTGGTAGTGTTTGTGATGGTTGCAATGGTGGTGGTGGTGGTAGTAGTAGTAAAAGCGAGTGGAGGTTGTTGTGATGGTAGTTATGAAGATGGTGGTGGTGGTGGTTGTAGTTGTTGTAATGGTGCTGATGGTGGTACTTGTGGTGATGGTGATGGTGGTAAAAGTAGTTAATAGATAATAAATAAATAAAATATATTATTATTTTGAAAAAAAAATTAATTCCTATTCGTTGTTTTTATTCCCACATATTATGTGGGAATGAAGCTGTGTGTAAATTTTCATTTCCATTCCCACTCTTCATTCCCATTCTCACTTCATTCTTTTTAACCAAACAACTACAATGTGGGAATAAAAGTTTCATTCCTATTCTCATCACTCTATTCCCGATTACCAAACAGCACCTAAGCATAATACGGATGTTTTTAAACAACATATCAAATATTTTGCGATATTATTGTTGCTAGAAAAAGGTCTTCCGTATGTTCTGTTAATACTTTCCAAGCTGAATTAAGCAATTTACTAAAAGATTTTTGCTTTAAAATTTTTAATGTTCTGGCCAACATACAAATGTTTCCTAAATTTTTCCCTTTAAAAATTAGGCTCTTATTCCTCTCTATTTTCAGATTTACTCAGCTAATGTACATGAGCTCTAGCAAGACAACAGAAGAAACCAAAAAAGGAGTTGTAATGGTACCAGAAACATCTGTAGTTACGGGTTCAGTTCTGTGTCTGTGTCTGCAATTTTTCTATTGCATATGTATCAAATGTAAGGCTAAAACATAACAAATGTAAGGCTAAAACATAATAAATGTACTACCTGTCAATTTTCATTTCTTTGGCAGTCCTTACTTGCTCCAAGAAAGACTCAACAGATAAGCGGTCCGTGCCAGGGTTCTTCTTCCCCTGAATAAATTACAAAACCACATTATATAAAATTTAAACTAGGCCACTGCTTCCGGGGTTGAGCAAAAACATAGTACAATAAAACAAAACTTCTTAAATGCCACTAACATTCATTCATAGTCAGATCAACATATTAATTTAGCTAATTCAATCAACAAAGTTAATTTGCACAAAAAACAGCTTCAGCTCAGCATTAGTAACAATTTTTTTCCTAGAAGATAAAAATAATACTCTGCCGAACTAGCATCGATATGTTATGAACTGAGTACCTAAGATGTACAAAACCTACCCATCCAAATGAAAAGGGGAGGTTGTTTCCAGTCCCCAATGGCACAGTAGCAATCGGTGGAGGTTGCGGTAGTTTAAGATCACTAACCACACCAAGTAACCATCCAGCCGTGCCATCTCCACCTGCAACCTAATAATATGAGTATCCAATCAGACAAATAACAACAAAGACAAAATCAAATTCACCACATAACTAATCATGATCATTAACTCACTATAATTCTCAATCTCTTCTCAATTTCAGCAGCAAATTTATCACCATTATACTTCAATTTCTGCAACCTTGCATAGACGTCATGCAACGCCTTATCAGGCTTTTTCTCTCCCAAATCAATAACCTACAACCAAACACATTCCTAATTACATTAACATCACAAAATTTACAATCAAAACTAAGTAAAAACGGCGAAAAACAGACTATGATCACCTGATTTTGATTAAGAAGTGAGCGATAAGTAATTAAAAGTTGACTTCCTAATTGACCACCACTTTTTGAATTAATGAAGACAATCACGGGACATGAAGGTAGTACATCGAAAGAAGAAGCAGAATCAGAATTCGATTCTTCAGAGACAAGAATGTAATCAGGAATATAAAATTCCTTGATTAGTGTCTCCAATTTCTCATCTGCCATAACAAACTCCTTACTACAAATTCAAAAAAAAAAAAAAAAAAAGAAACTATCAGAATAATTACTAACAAATTTGGAATACAGAAAATCAATAAATGAATAAAACCTTTTAGAAACAAAAGTACGAATGGAATTTTTAATTTCTTTCAAACTTCCAGAACCAGAAGACAACTTGTGACGAAATTTCGTTTCCATTTTTTTTTCCTCATCAAAATCAAAATCAAAAGATCCTTTTCTTTTCTCTTTGATTTTCTCGCCAACTAAACAGAGAAAAACAAAACACAAAATAAAGAGATAAAGTTACAAAGGATTATATAGAATCTTGAAAAGTGAAAGAGAAGGAAGAAAAGGAGTCTTTAACGGTCAAAATCAAGATATTCTTATTTGATTCAAATTTTTTCAAATAACAAAACGCGTTTTATCTTTTTTTTATTGTGATAAACGGAATAAATGTGTGAAAGCAATAAATAAATGAATTGGGGTGACAATGTGCTTGATTGGTTTTGGTAGTTTACCATTTAAAGGATAGTGACGAGAAAGAAAAATGGATTTCTGCTTATCTTTTTCTTTTGCTGGTTTGTTTTATGAACACGAAAGTGGTGAGGGAGTTGTTATATGGTGTGGGAGATTGTATGGTTTTATGGTGGTGGTGCGGTATCTTGTGATTGGAGGAAATTTCTAATTTGTCCTTTTATGGAAATACGAAAGTGGGAGGGAAATCACAGGAAAATGTTTGTTTGGGTGAATTTCCTGAATGGGTCCAAGAAGATGAGACGATGGTCATCAGAGTTCAGCGTATGACATTTATCTTCAGCACTAAGCCTTCCTCACGCTACATGGAAGACTTTGATTTATTGGGTTAGGTAACTGTGTGAGGTTAGCATCAAACTTTTTCTAAGTTAACTAAGCAGGTTTCATGTGGGCTGAAACCAACTAAATGTGCTTTACTTCAAAATTCTATGGGTTGTTGCTGAAAAAATTTAAATTTTTCAAAGAATAACTGCTCTACGTGCATAATAATTATTAAACGAATCTATTTTTAAAGAGAGAGAATGACCACAAAAAAAATGTATTTGTTGTCGAGACTTAGACTGAAAAGGGGTGGACTAGATCACGTTTTCTTTGGGCCTCAATTGGGTGTGAATTATATGGTGCGGGACAACGCATGCTTTAAGGTGGAGAAGATGGTAATTGGCAGATATGAAAAGCCAATTCCCAATTGTATACATTGACGAAAAGCATAACGGTATAGAGATTAGGCACGTGATGATTAGGACGTGGTTGGGGCTTTTGTATTGGATAGGGATCTAACTAACTGATATTGACAGGAGAAATGACGTGGAAGCTTCCTATTTGTCCATGTATGGGAGTGGGAAAGTCGGAAGGAGCTCAGCTTTGTTTTTTTGTTTTTTGTCAAATAAATTTTGGGGGTTGTCTCAAATGAAGTTTGCAATTTTAATACTCTTCTTTCGGCACCTACCTCAGTGAGCTTCTGTTAATTTTCCAGAAGAGTTTTTTTTTATATATGTATAACTTTTTTGGTTTGTCATTTCTAGTGGGAGTAAATTATAAATTGGTCCCTCTCCTTTTAAAAAGAGAATTAATTATTTTTTCTCATTTCAAAAACTAATTATTTAGTCTCTATATTTTAAAATTTATTTATAATTTTTTTAATAAAAAAATATAGAAAGATTGATGAGAATATAAGAGAGTTTTTAGAATAAAATTAATATTAAATTAAATATGATTAATATTTATTAAAAGATTAAATAATTATTTTTAAAATAAAGAGGACCAATTAATTTGTTTCTTGAAAATAGAGGGACTAATTTATAATTTACACTTTCTATAGATGAATTTCGTGAATGAGTCAAAAAAGATGAGTGCAATGCTAACAAAATTCAGAAATAAAGACATTTAAGCAATAAGCGTAAGCCTAACTATACTAAAGAGTTTCGTTTATTTTTGTTAGGCAAGTTTGTGAGATTAGCATGAAGCCAATTTGGTCTTCAGAATGTGGAGGATTAGCATGAAGCCAATTTAGTCTTCAGAATATGGAGGATTAGCATTTATTTAGACGTTGTGCCCATGATATGGGGTTAAAGTCAAGAGTCGAATGGAATGCCTTTGTGTGAACTAAGTAGGTTTTATGCGGACTGAAAAAAACTGAGCACGTGAAAGTAACAAGATGACATTTTTATCTATTACAGTAGATTTATTATTATTATTATTATTATTATTATTATTTTACTTTTAGAAATACAATACAATTAAAAATTTTGCATGACATTCAATGGTTGACCGAATAAGAAAACTATGCAGATGGAACATATCAAGTAAATGATATTCATTATTACGGACAAAGGAGAATTAGATGCATTTAAATAATGTCATTTGCTGTGATAAATAGAATTGTCAACGGATTGGATTAGATTCGGATTATAAAAGATCAAAATTCTATTTATATAATAAATTGATTGATTTAGATTTTGTAAATTCGAATTTGGGTTTTGTAATTGTAGATCTGGATTTGGATTTTAACGGATTCGAGTGTTAATTAAATTTAATCTTTTTTTTAAGAAAAAATGTTGACTACATTTAAAATCATGTTTCAATGTAAAATAAGTTTTAACTAAGTTTACATTTATAAAAAGAATAATATTTAATATGTCAATTTTTTTTAAAAAAAATCAAATTTCTCACTGTTAAAAAGAATAAAGTCAAATAATTTTTTATAAAATTATGTGAAAAATCAAAATAAATTTACAATAGACAAGAAGTAGGATAAAGTTAAAGAAAAATAATAAAAAATACCTACTCTACGCACAACTTGATTTATATGAAATAAAATCATAGTGTTTTACAAATAATAAGCTTGAAATGAATAAAATTTAGATTGAATCAAGATTTTATAAACGAGATAATTACTAAAAAAAAAAACCTTTTATCTAAAACATTCATCAATTAAATTTTAAATCTCTCGAACCTAAAAAAATATTTTTTTTTCTTACCCAAACAAACAAGTAATTAACCCAAAACAATGTTTTTCTTATCAAAACAATGAATAGTTAACTCTCAACTTAACACCGGTTAATTATTGATTATTTTGGTAAGAAAAATATTATTTTAAATTTGAGAGATTTAAAACTAAATTAGTGAGTTTTTGAGATAGTAGATTTTTAGAGGATTTTATAGTAATTATCTCCAACTTAAAGGAGACCATTATCTTCTAAAATATGTTTTTTATATTGTGGATGTCCATGTTTTATTTAATTAATGTACTAAAATATATTATCCATTTATCGCTTGATTTAATTTAATTTTTTGATAAATAAACAAAGTTTTGATTAATTGAAAATTACTACTATTGATGGTGTTTTTTTTTCCTATCAATTATTAGGATTTAGCGAGATCACTAATGTTCATAAATCATTCATATTGTTGATTTTCTTATTTACATGACACTCCTTAGATTAAATTATAGGAGGATACTATGAGTCTCATTTCATCATATTAACTAGCTGAATTGCATCATCCGTTATAGCTATTAGATGGTAAAACTAATTCATTAGTTGATGAAACAAATGGTATATAAGGAAATAAAAACTCGTACAGAATGAATTCTTCTTGTAATAAGAAAATAATAATCGAAGCAATTTGTTAGTCAAATAATTTGAGAAAAAAATTTTTCTTTCGATTGTAATAAAAAATAATTTGAACTTAATCATTAAAAAAAATCGATATCGAATTGTCAAAATTATGAAATGAGATTATTATTAGATAATTATTTAAAAAAAAATCCTAAAAAATCTTTTATCTAAAACACCCATCAATTTATTTTAAATTTTCTCAAACTCAAAATAATATTTCTCTTGCCAAAACACCCAATAAATTATCTAGTAATATTTTTCTTACAAATAATTATCGGGTGTTTTGGCAAGAAAAATATTATTTTGAGTCGGTGAAATTAAAAATAAATTTATGGGTTTTTTAGATAAAATATTTTTAGAGGGTTTTTTGATAATAATTTCTTCTCTAAATTAGAAACACAAGTATAATACTAGCAACAACTAATTGATTTTTTTTCATACATTTATAGGATTTTTCACAAAATTCTTGAAAAGTGATAAAAAAAAATTATCATGTAATTATTTAAAAAGATAGCCATCAATTTAGAGAAAGAAAAAAAAAACAAAAGTATAGAACGTTTCTTAGCTTCTAGAGTAAATAAACCCTAATCGAAACCTAGTGCCATATTTTTTCTTACTTTTGATATTTAATTTTTTAATGGTTTTAAAATATTATATTTATAAAAATAATATTAATGTTAATTTTTATTATCAAATCAGATCGAAATAAATCTATGTGTGATCAATTAATAAATAAATTAACATATTTAGATATAATTAGTCTCAAATTATAAAATAGTGTATTATATCTATTTAATTACATGGGATCGGATTCCAATCAAAATCCAAGCGATTAACAGCTCTACTGATAAGAAAACATAAGCAATTTGCAAATACTTATTTGCTAAATTATTTCGGGTAATTTGTGTATAACTATCATTATTTGTACACATTTTTTTTTAATTATTATTATTATTATTGGATCATTCGTGAATAGCCATCCTTACGTGTTGGGCTTCCTAATTATGTTCCAGGCCTAGCTAGATAGAAAACGGCCTACAAAAACTACTTTTCGTATAGGAAAAAATTTACGGCCCAAAGAAAACTAATCCGTCCCATTGTTTGGTAGTCTTTAAGGGAAGTCAAATAATAAACGCTGAAGAGAAATCTTAAGAACCATTCTATCAGAATCGAGGGTAAATTATAAATTAGTCCCTCTCGCTTTGAGAAAAAAATTAATTAATCCTCCTAATTTCAAAAACTAATTATTTTGTTCTTTTTGTTATTTTTAATTTATTTTTATTTTTTTTAAGAAATAAAAAAATAATAAAAATATGAAAAGATTGATAAAAAATAAAATATGAAAAGATTGGTGAGAAATAATATATTTTATAAATTAAAAAAAAATATTAACTTAGTTGTAATCAATATTGATTAAAAAACTATATAATTAGTTTTTAAAACTAGAATGACTAATTAATTCATTCCTTAAAACTAGATAGACTAATTTATATATAATTTACTCCTACAATCGAGTCTTAAAAAAAAAAAATAGTGATTTGATGATATTCTTTGAAGTGGAGTGGACTTACGTACAGTGTTGAAAAAACATCAGAACATATATAAGTTACAAGACTTCAACATATATAGAGTTCTATCTTCTCTAATCATTATTTTAACTGAAGTTGTTTTTAATGAAGGTGCATAAAGCTCCTAGAAAACCTATATAAAGATCCTCTCTTTTTTAAAATTCCAAAGATATACAGTGATGCAATTACCATTTTTAGGAAACAACACAAATTTAAAGATAAGTCTAAAATTCTCTGTGTTACTCCTATTCAAAAAGATTCCTATCCGGTTTATATGTATGTTGGACATGTATATTTATATTAAAGTTGGCCTTTCTTAAACGATTTTATCCGTTATTTCACTAATTTAATGTCAATTTCATGAGAATATCTAACATTATGGGATGAAGAAATTGAAAAATGGAAGTAATATGATGCAAAAGAGAAATGACAAATATATATATTATAAAATCAAAATTAATCGCTACTCTAGGTAATTTATGCAAATTTTAATTTTCTTCTTAGGTTATGAATTATAAAAGATGGGTTCACAGAAGGATAATTATGTATACCAACTTACAGACATACCTTCCCTCCTGCATTCATGGTTTCCCTCACTAACACTAACTCTTTTTCCCCCTTTTTTTTTAAAAAATATCAATCACTAATACCAATTGACGGGTCTTAGAAAGCGGTTCAAATATGAAAAATTGATTTATTCTCGTTGCATAATCAAATTTTAAAGAGATATGCACGGCTGCTAATTTCTTCTCTTTCGTTCCAGTGGAGTATATATAATCAATTGAGAAATTTTAAAATACTTTAAGAGTAATTATTATATATTTATAATAGTTACTTCATCATCTCGTTTCTGAAAAAAAAAAAAGATTAAAAAAAAATCATATCTAATTTACTAAAAATGGTAAAAATATTTCTATATTCGCTCAATTTTTTTTAATTAATTAATTTATTTTTACTTTTTTGTGTCTATCTATTTCTTATGAAATAAATATTGGCACTTACTCTATTAGTAAATGTTAATTGTATGTACTTATATTGATGTTACTTTTTTTCTTGTGAAAAAATAAATCAATTAATGTTTTATATCTCATTTAACATATGTTTTTTCATATTCTACTGTAAAAAATATCCTCATACTAATTTATATGTTAATATAAATTGAGATTGTGATTATAAATATTTTTTTTATATGTTTTTATTCCACAATTTATATACTTTTGCGCAACAAACCGCTTTCGAATGCAATTTTTCTACTTTGATCAATTTTAACTATCATTCACTAACTGACTCCTAGCATGTGTATACCAAACAAAGTTGAATATTTCATTGGACCATTCTAATTTTCTAGACCTTTCCATCATGACACAATGATCAGTCCTACATTGTTCTTGCATTATTGCATGTAGTAATTAAGGAATGAAATCAATTGCATGATGCATGGAGAATTAAAGAACAAAATTTACAATGATTTCGTGGTGTAAGATGGTCCATTAATCCAAGGAAGAAAAACAAAAGGACCACATGATCCATGCCATAGACCAATGAGCAATATTGAATTACACGTCCACATATGTTCTAATCCTGCACCTAAGTATTGTCTATTGATCAACCCTTTGAAAATACGCTCCATGCATAATGTATTAGGTAGTCGACCAATTTTGTGCTCAGAATTGAGACATGCTAGCAACTGGTGAGTGCCATATTGAACTTTGAGAATAATATTTTTGCAAGAAGCTAGCAAACCCCTAGAGTGCGTGATTGGCATGATACCTGATTTATTCAATAAATTAATAAGCTTAATAAACCATAATCAGAAGCACCCATTACCGTAATGAGTAATCTTTACACGCACACACGCTTGTACTCTGTGCGGCCAGACAGATGCCTGTGTCGCTTACCATGAGCCCATGACGTTGAGGTTATACGTGGTTTAGGTGCTCAAATTATTATTATTATTATTATTATTGACATTGGCAAATGCATTGTTGACACCTCTCAAGTGTTCAAAGTCAATTTCATGAGCTTGTCCTCCCATGCTCTAGGAATTCCTATTGGTAATGTAATTAATTTTGAAATGATGCTGAGAATGACAGCAAGCAAGTTAGGTAGTGGAGTTTCATTAATAGTAAAATAAATAAATAAACAAAACACATTCGATTTATTAAAAATAATAAAAATATTTTCATATATATGTTATGTTTTAAATTAATGTTTTATTTATCTATTGTTTTTTGTCCATCCCTTTTTATAGAGTAAAATTGATAAATAAATAAAAAAACATATTTGATTTATCAAAAGTGATAAAAATATTTTTATATCTATTAGTTTTTAAATTTTTTTCTTTTTTATTTATCTATTTTCTTTTTGTCTATCTTTTTTATAGAGTAAATATTAATAATTATTCTATGAATAAATGTTATCTGCACATATTTTTTATGTTATTTTTCTTGTGAAAAAATAAATCAATTAATGTTTTATATCTCATTTACTACATGTTATTTTTTTATTCGATTGCAAAAAATACCCTCATACCAATTTATATGTTAATATCAATTGAGCTTATGATTATAAATACTTTTAAAACATTTTTTATATGATTTTTTCCCACATTTTATATACTTCTACGCAACAAACCACTTTCCAAATGCAATTTTTGTACTTTGATCAATTTTAATTATCATGTTCATTCAACAAAACATTCACTAACTCCTAGCATCTGTGTATACCAAACAAAGTTGAATATTTCGTTGGGCCATTCCTTGTCTCAGCTAGCTAATTTTCTAGACCTTTCCATCCTGACATAATGATCAGTCTTACATTGTTCTTGCATTAATGCATGCAGTAATTAAGGAATGAAATCAATTGTATAATACATGGAGAATTAAAGAACAAAATTTAAAATGATTTGTTGTGTAAGATGCTCGATTAATCCAAGAAAGAAAAACAAAAGACCACATGATCCATGCCATATGCTTTGGACATGACTCTCAAAAATTAAAATAGTTTGATTTTATTATTTATGATTTATTTTGAGGATACGAGTTATTATTGATTTCAAAATCGTCACATAATATTGAATAAACTAAAAATCTTAAATGGGCATTGGTGCAGAAATTCTAGGATAAAGAATTGGTTACACTTTTGGGTCATTTCCTAAAAAAGATATCATGTCTAGTTTAGTCCTAAAATTTATCTCCTAAAGTTTTTGTTTTTGCCAAAATATTTTTCAATCAATTTCAAACTTTTTTTTATTTTCTTTTTATGTTAAACTAAGTATTTTATTTTTATTTATGGCATCGTATTAAACCAATCGTCGAACCGCTTCATTGGGAGATATGTCAATTCAAACATCGGATCCACATTAAATCTCGACATAACCGGTATGTCGAAGAACGCCCTAATTACTAAAATGATTTTTAACTAACAACAATTCCTATTAGATAGGAGACTTTGATTAAAAAAAAAAAAAATAGAATTTTCTATTTTTCTTTTTCTCTATTTTTACTAGCTTTTTTTTTTTCATTCTTTATGTTCCTAAGATTTCTTCCTCTCTCTTTTTTTTTTAATAAAATTTTCTTTTTATTTTCCTCACTTCCTTTTTTTTTTTTTTTTTTTTGTCGATGAGACATCGTCATCAAGTCCTAAAAATTAGAAAACTCGACAATTCATCCGCCTATTAAGCTGTCTAACTTAATAAATCCTAAAATTAAACATTTGACTAAACAAATTTAAGAAATTCAAAATACTAGATCTAAATTAACCATAAAAAAAAAGCATATATAAAAACAAACACGTAACGAAAACAAACCAAATTGTCATTAAAGAGTGACCAAAATGCCCCTGCGATGTTGTTATAAAATGACCAAAATGCTTCTCATGGTAAGATTACCTAAATACCCTTAAGGGTAAAATTACAAAAATCCTCATCCGAACCTTCAAGATACCGCCACTTGTTCGATTGTTGTTTGACCACCCTTTAGGCATGTGAACCACCCTATATCGCGGAGGAGATCGTCACGAACCTAACAATGGTGGTGGCGGCCACGAACGACATCCGAAGAGGTCGATAAGAGGCTCCAAGGTTTTAGCGACGATGATTCCGATGGTGTTAGGAGATTCCAAGGACAACAATTGACTCGTGAGATTGAGATAAGTTTTTTTATGGTGGTTAAGGGATCCAATTTGGCCATAATTGGTCATTAGTCTCCTCTTCGATTCGATCACTTTCTAACTAAATTTTGCCTAGATTTTAGGAGGAAAAATCTTCTACGAGGGTGAGAAGTATTTTTCTAGTGGTAGGGGTTGTTGGTTTACCTAGAAAATGACAATAATAGTAGGTACAAAACTAGATCGGATCGTTAACCTTCTCTCCTCAATTTCTCCCTCTTACAACATCTTCTTCCTTCCTAACCAATTGAGAATGATTGATCTAGTGGTGGAACACCTATTTATGGTGGTGGATTAAAGTAATTTTGGTTAAAATATGGTTGATTTGAGGAAGGAAAAGCCAACGAGGTTTGTGGGTATGCTCGTCGACTATTTGGGTCAACTCGCCCTTTTTAGAGGTTGTTTGGTAGCTTTTTATTCATTTTTTTTCCTTGGGATCTTGAAATTTCTACCCTTTGGTTCCTTTTTTTATGAGTAGGAATGATGAGTATTTTGGATAGATTGTGTTGTGATAAGTGAATAATAGAGGCTAGGTTTTTCTTGGTAGGAAGATAAGCAATAGAGGCTAGAGTTTTTAGGTAAAAAGATGAGTGATGAAGGCTAGGGTTTTTGGGGTATGAAAAACTTATGGAGTGACTATGGCTACCCTAAAAATAAAGGGAAATAGTTGCTTATATAGAAGATTTTTAGGATTGGAGGGATAAGTGATCTCCTCAATCATTTTTCTTCTTCTTCTTTTTTTTTTTCCTTTTCTTTTTTCTTTTTAAATGAGGAATAATTTCAACAAATCAAAAATCCTAAAAAATTGTAAAAAATACCTAAAAACCATAAAAGAAGACAAACTATAAATATTCTATTTTTTAAAAAAAATTAAAATTTATTTTTTTGAATTATTTTTTTTTAATTTGTATGAAAATAAACATATGTTAAAATGAGGTTATTATATTGCTTCCTCTTTAAAATGCTTAGGTTACAAATGCTAACTAAAGTGTGAATTTAGATTGGGTTTACTTAATGAGCTTGTAAAGAAAAAAAGATAAATTAAGTGGTAAAAATGATCAGATTGTCATGGGTGATTGTCCTTAAAAAATAAGATGTAATAGCGATGATGACTCACCCTTGAAGAATAAATACAAGAGCCTCATTTTGTAGGGTGACTTGTCCTCAAAGAATAAAAATGTGATAATGTAACACCCTCAACTTGGGACTTAAGAGATTGAAAATATCACCGATATTAACTCACATTCAAAGTACAATGAATATAAGCTAACAAGGCGAGTATGATCTTTCTATAACTTATGTAAGTTAATTCTCCCTTTTAAGTCTTTAGGGCCAACTTTTGACCCTTAAAATTTCTACATAATTTAATTTGAGAGTTTATATTTTTAATTTTGTGCATTTGAATCCTTAATTTTATGTAATTTAATCCCTAGAACCAAAATTACATCCTACACTTTTTAAAATTCCAATTTCTTTTCAGAATAAATTCAAATACTTATTAATAGAATTTCACCTAAATTTTCATAATTTTATAATTTCATTTCGGCCTCCAAATAAATTATTTAGTGTAAAAATTACACTATTTTCTATAAGAAATATTCCCTATTTATTGAAAAATTAATTAAAATTTATTTGAAACTCCTACGTTCCCTGAGTGATTTTTCCATCCCCTTAGAAAAATTTCCTCATCCTTTGTAAATGTCTAATTTAATTTTTTCTATCTCTAAAACACTATTCCTATGCATAGAATTTCAAAGAAAATATCCACATCATATGGAAAAATTCACATAATCACATAAAATAATACATAGCCCTTCTAACAAATATTCTAAGCAAACAAAATATTTTTCATGTACAAACAAAAAGCTTTAATTAGTTCTTTCATGCAAAAACTACTACTCATGCATCACAAAATCAATAAAATATTCCTTAAGCATGGAAGAACTATTTTAACTAGTTTAAATATTCTTTTAAGTTCCTAAAGATTATTTCTCACCTTCAAAATATATTTCACATGTATTTAATATTAAATTTTATTTAATTCATTTTAGCAAGTACTAGTTATTACGGATAGGCTCATTGCTCAAGATGGCTTGCCCTTGAAAAATAAAATGCGATAGTCTCATTTTGCAAGGTAACTTCCCTTTGAAAAATAAAAATGTGATAGCCTCACTATACGGAATGGCTTGACCCTTGAAAAATAAAATGCAATACGGTAGCCTTATTGTCAATGATAACCTACCTTAAAAATTAAACATGCAATGCGATAGCTTTGTTGTCAAGGATAACCTACTCTCAAAATTAAACATGCAATGTGATGGCTTTGTTGTCAAGGACACCCTATTCTAAAAATTAAACATGTAGTGTGATAGCCTTGTTGTCAAGAACAATCTATCCCGAAAATTAAACATGTAATGTGATGAACTTATTGTCAAGGACAATCTGTCCTAAAAATTAAACATGCAATACAATGCTGAAAATACAATATTTAAATTAGATCAAAGAAACAAACCTTTGAAAGATGATCTAATCAAAAAAGATATATGAACCACTTTAAATGAACTTTTTCTAAAAAAATGAGATCGGAGAAAAAAATCTTTGATAAGTGATCCGATAAAAAAGATATATGAACTAATTTGGGTGATCTTTTTCTTCTTTTTATCCGAAAAACGAGATTGAAAAACAAACCTTTAATAAGTGATTCGGTCAAAAAAGATATACGAACCACTTTAGGTGATCTATTTCTTTTTTCTTTTTTTTTTTATTTAAAATGAGATCGAAGAAATGAACTTTTGACGGATGATTCAATCAAAAAAGATATATGAACTACTTTGGATGATCTTTTTTTTTCTTTTTTTAAAAATAAGATCA